TTTTTTTAATTATTTGCTTCTTGCTAATGTTGGCTTCTTCATTATTGTTTGTTTGCGTTAATTATTTGCTTCTTGCTAATGTTGGCTTCTTCATTATTGTTTGTTTGCGTAAATTATTTGCTTCTTACTATGTTGGCTTCTTCATTCTTGTTTGTTTTTTGCTTAATTAATTTGCTTCTTTCTTTTGTTTGGCTTCTTCATTCTTGTTTTGTTTGTTTTAATTATTTGCTTCTTGCTAATGTTGTCTTCTTCATTCTTGTTTTGTTTTTGCGTTAATTATTTACTTCTTGCTAATGTTGGCTTCTTCATTGTGTTTGTTTTGCGTTATTTGCTGCTTGCTAATGTTGGCTTCTTCATTATTGTTTGTTTTCGTTAATTATTTGCTTCTTGCTAATGTTGGCTTCTTCATTATTGTTTTGTTTTTGCGTAAATTATTTTCATTCTTGTTTGCTAATGTTGGCTTCTTCATTATTCTTTTGTATTTTTTTGCGTTGTTTATTTGCTTCTTGCTAATGTTGTTGGTTTTAATATTTTTCTTCATTATTGCTTTTGTTTTGCGTTATTTGCTTCTTGCTAATGTTGGCTTCTTCATTATTGTTTGTTTTGCGTTAATTCTTCTTCATTCTTTTAATGTTGCTTCTTTCTTCATTCTTCATTATTTTGTTTTTTTGCGTTATTTATTTGCTTCTTGCTAATGTTGGCTTCTTCATTCTTGTTTGTTTTGCGTTAATTATTTGCTTCTTGCTAATGTTGGCTTCTTCATTATTGTTTGTTTTGCGTAATTTATTTGCTTCTTGCTAATGTCTTCTTAATTTGTTTGTTTTGCGTTCTTTGCTTCTTGTTGCTAATGTTGGCTTCTTCATTATTGTTTGTTTTGGCTTCGTTAATTATTTGTTTGTTTTACTAATGTTGGACCTTCATTGTTTGTTTTCATTCTTGTTTTGCTTTTTACGTTAATTATTTTGCTAATATTTGGATTCTTCATTCTTGTTTGTTTTTTCGTTTTAATTATTTCTTCGTACTTTTGTTTTGCGTTGTTGCTTCTTGCTAATGTTGGCTTCTTTCATTATTTTTTGTTTTGTTTTGCGTTAATTATTTTGCTTCTTGCTAATGTTGGCTTCATTTCATTATTATTTTGTTTTACGTTAATTATTTGCTTCTTGCTAATGTTTGGCTTCTTCATTATTGTTTTTTGCGTTAATTTTTGCTTCTTGCTAATGTTGGCTTCTTCTTTTCTTGTTTTTTGCATAAATTATTTATACTAATTTTGGCTTCTTCATTATTGTTTGTTTTTTTGCGTTATTTATTTGCTTATTTGTTTTGCGTTATTTGTTGTCTTCTTCATCATTGTTTGTTTTATGTTAATTATTTGCTTCTTGCTAATGTTGGCTTCTTCATTATTGTTTGTTTTTGCGTTAATTATTTGCTTCTTGCTAATGTTGGCTTCTTCATTCTTGTTTGTTTTTGCTTCGTTAATTATTTGCTTCTTTAATACTGTCTTCTTCATTATTGTTTTGTTCTGCGTTAATTATTTGCTTCTTGTTGCTTCTTCATGTTGGCTTCTTCATTCTTGTTTTTTACGTAAATTATTTGCTTCTTGCTAATTTTGGCTTCTTCATTATTGTTTGTTTTATGCAATTTGCTTCTTGCTAATGTTGTCTTCTTCATTATTGTTTGTTTTTTTGCGTTAATTATTTGCTTCTTGCTAATGTTGGCTTCTTCATTATTGTTTGTTTGCGTTAATTATTTGCTTCTTCTAATGTTCTTCTTCATTATTGTCCATTTTTTATTTGCTTCTTGCTTCTTACTAATGTTTTCTTCTTCTATTATTGTTTGTTTTGCGTTAAATTATTTGCTTTAAAAAATGTTGGATTCTTCATTATTGTTTGTTTTGCTTCTTCTAATGTTGGCTTCTTCACGTTTGTTTTGCGTTAATTATTTGCTTATTTTGCTAATGTTGGATTCTTCATGTTTACTTGTTTGTTTTGCGTTAATTATTTGCTTCTTTTTGCTAATGTTCTTCTTCATTCTTGTTTGTTTTGCTGTTAATTATTTGCTTCTTGCTAATGTTGGCTTCTTCATTATTGTTTTTTGTTTTTAATGTTGGCTTCTTCATTATTATTTTGTTTGCGTAAATTATTTGCTTCTTGCTAATGTTTCTTCATTATTGTTTGTTTTGCGTTAATTATTTGCTTCTTGCTAATGTTGGCTTCTTCATTATTGTTTGTTTTTGCGTTAATTATTTGCTTCTTAATTATTTGCTTCTTGCTAATGTTTGGTTTGTTTTTCATTATTGCTTTTGTTTTTTGTTATTTGCTTCTTGCTAATGTTGGCTTCTTCATTATTGTTTTGTTTTGCGTTATTTGCTTCTTGCTTCTTAATGTTGGCTACTTCATTCTTGTTTGTTTTACGTTAATTATTTGCTTCTTGCTAATGTTGGATTCTTCATTCATTCTTGTTTGTTTTGCGTTAATTATTTGCTTCTTGCTAATGTTGGCTTCTTCATTCTTTTTTGTTTGTTTTACTAATGTTGGCTTCTTCATTATTGTTTGTTTTTGCGTTAATGTTGAATTCTTCTAATGTTGGCTTCTTTCATTATTTTTGTTTTGTTAAATTATTTGTTTCTTGCTAATGTTTGGCTTCTTCATTCTTGTTTTTGTTTTTTGCGTTAATTATTGTTGTTTTTGCTTCTTCTTGCTAATGTTGGCTTCTTCTTCATTATTGTTTTTGTTTTGTTAATTATTTGCTTCTTGCTAATGTTGGCTTCTTCGTTATTTGTTTTGGCGTTAAATTATTTGCTTATTGCTAATTTATTGTTTGTTTTGCGTTAATTTGCTTCTTGCTAATGTTGGCTTCTTCATTATTGTTTGTTTTTTTATTTGCTTCTTGCTAATGTTGGCTTCATTCTTTGTTATTTTCGTTAATTATTTTATTGATTCTTGTTTTTTTTTTTAATTATTTGCTTCTTGCTAATGTTGGTTTCTTCATTTTTGTTTGTTTTATGTTAATTATTTGCTTGTTTTTTTGCTAATGTTGGCTTCTTCATTCTTGTTTGTTTTACGTTATTTGCTTTTTGCTAATGTTGGCTTCTTCATTCTTGTTTGTTTGCGTTAATTATTTGCTTCTTGCTAATTTTGGTTAATTATTTCTTCATTAATTGTTTGTTTTGCGTTAATTATTTGCTTTTGCTAATGTTGGCTTCTTCATTGTTTGTTTTATGTTATTTATTTCTTCTTTCAATGTTGATTTCTTCATTTAATGTTTGTTTCATTTTGCGTTTAATTATTTGCTTCTTGCTAATGTTGGATTCTTCATTCTTATTTGTTTTGCGTTTATTTGCTTTCTTGGATTCTTCATTGTGTTTGTTTTCATTGCTTCTTTTGTTGGCTTCTTCGTGTGTTTGTTTCGCGTTAATTATTTGCTTCTTGCTAATGTTGGCTAACTTCATTATTGTTTGTTTTGCGTTAATTATTTGCTTCTTGCTAATGTTGGCTTCTTCATTCTTGTTTGTTTTACTTTGTTTTGCGTTCTTTGCTTTTGCGTTAATATTTGGCTTCTTCGTATTGTTTTGTTTATTTGTTTTGCTTTATTTGCTTCTTGCTAATGTTGGCTTCTTCATCATTGTTTGTTTTTGCGTTAATTATTTGCTTCTTGCTGTATTGGCTTCTTCATTATTGTTTGTTTTGCGTTATTTGCTTCTTGCTAATGTTGGCTACTTCATTATTGTTTTGTTTTACGTTAATTATTTGCTTCTTGCTAATGTTGGATTCTTCATTATTGTTTTGTTTTGCGTTAATTATTTGCTTTTTCTTGCTAAATTGTTTGGCTACTTCTAATTCTTGTTTGTTTGTTTCGCGTTAATTATTTGCTTCTTGCTAATGTTGGATTCTTCATTATTGTTTGTTTGTTTTGCTTCTTACTAATATTTGCTTCTTCATTCTTGTTTGTTTGTTAATTATTTGCTTCTTTAATGTTTCTTCTTCATTCTTGTTTTGTTTTGCGTTAATTATTTTTCTTGCTAATGTTGGCTTCTTCATTATTGTTTTGTTTTCGTTATTTGCTTCTTCATTCTTTTTTTGTTTTTGCGTTAATTATTTGCTTCTTGCCTTCATCATTATGTTGGCTTCTTCATTCTTCATTTTGTTTTACGTTAATTATTTGCTTCTTGCTAATGTTGGCTTTTTTCATTATTGTTTTTGTTTTGCGTTAATTATTTGCTTCTTCATTATTTAATGTTGGCTTCTTCATTGTTTTGCGTTATGTTATTTGCTTTTGCTAATGTTGGCTTTTCATTTTGTTTGTTTTGCGTTAATTATTTGCTTCTTAATGTTGGCTTCTTTCATTATTGTTTGTTTTGCGTTATTTTGCTTCTTGCCAATGTTGGCTTTTTCATCATTGTTTGTTTTGCGTTAATTATTTGCTTCTTGCTAATGTTGGCTTCTTCATTATTGTTTGTTTTGCGTTAATTATTTGCGTTTCTTCTTGCTAATGTTGGCTTCTTCATTATTGTTTGTTTTGAGTTAATTATTTGCTTCTTGCTAATGTTGGCTTCTTCATTACTGTTGTTTTGCGTTAATTATTTGCTTCTTGCTAATGTTGGCTTCTTCATTTATTTGTTTGCGTTAATTATTTGCTTCTTGCTAATGTTGGATTTTCATTCTTGTTTTGTTTTATGCTAATGTTGGTTTCTTCATCTTGTTTTTACGTTAATTATTTTCTTGCTAATGTTGGCTTCTTCATTCTTGTTTTGTTTTTTGTTAATTATTTGCTTCTTGCTAATGTTGGCTTCTTCATTATTGTTTTGTTTTTGCGTTTATTTGCTTCTTGCTAATGTTGGCTTCTTCATCATTGTTTGTTTGCGTTAATTATTTGCTTCTTGCCAATTCTTGTTTGCATTAATTATTTCTTCATTCTAATGTTGTCTTGTTTTGTTAATTATTTGCTTCTTTGCTAATGTTGTCTTCTTCATTCTTGTTTGTTTGTTAATTTTTGCTTCGTTAATGTTATTCTTCGTTTTGTTTACGTTAATTATTTGCTTCTTGCTAAATATTTGCTTCTTTCTGCTTTTTACGTTAATTATTTGCTTCTTGCCAATGTTGGCTTCTTCATTATTGTTTGTTTGCGTTATTTGCGTTAATTATTTTCTTCTTTGTTTTACCATTTGCTTCTTCGTTCTTCATTCTTGTTTGTTTTGCGTTAATTATTTGCTTTTTTTTAATGTTGGATTCTTCATTGTTTGTTTTGTTTTGCTTCTTGCTAATGTTGGCTTCTTTATTTGCGTTAATTATTTGCTTCTTGCTAATGTTGGCTTCTTCATTATTGTTTGTTTCTTCATTCTTATTTGTTTCTTGCTAATGTTGGCTTCTTCATTCTTGTTTGTTTTATGTTAATTTTGCTTCTTGCTAATGTTGGCTTCTTCATTGCTTGTTTGTTTGCTTCTTGCTAATGTTGGCTTCTTCATTATTGTTTGTTTTTATTTGCTTCTTGCTAATGTTGGCTTCTTCATTGTTTGTTTTCGTTAATTTTACATTCTTCATCATTATTGTTTGTTTTGCGTAAATTATTTGCTTATTGCTAATGTTGGATTCTTCATTATTGTTTGTTTTACGTTAATTATTTGCTTCTTGCTAATGTTGGCTTCTTTCATTATTGTTTTGTTTTGTTTTAATTATTTGCTTCTTGCTAATGTTGGCTTCTTTCATTATTGTTTTGTTTTGCGTTAATTATTTGCTTATTGCTAATGTTGGCTTCTTCATTCTTGTTTGCTTTTACTAATGATGCCTTCTTAATTATTTGCTTCTTGCTAATGTTGGATTCTTCATTCTTGTTTGTTTTGCGTTAATTATTTGCTTCTTTGCTAATGTTGGCTTCTTTCATTCTTGTTTGTTTTTTCTTTTATTTGCTTCTTGCTAATGTTGGCTTCTTCATCATTGTTTGTTTTTGCGTTAATTATTTGCTTCTTGCTAATGTTGGCTTCTTCATTATTGTTTGTTTGCGTTATTTTGCTTCTTGCTAATGTTGGCTACTTCATTCTTGTTTTGTTTTACGTTAATTATTTGCTTCTTGCTAATGTTGGATTCTTCATTCTTGTTTGTTTTGCGTTAATTATTGTTTGTTTTGCTTTTGCTAATGTTGGATTCTTCATTATTGTTTGTTTGCTTTTATTTGCTTCTTGCTAATGTTGGCTTCTTCATTCTTGTTTGTTTTGCGTTAATTATTTGCTTCTTGCTAATGTTGGCTTCTTCTTATTGTTTGTTTGCGACAAATTATTTTGCTTCTTGCTAATGTTAGCTGCTTCATTCTTGTTTCCTTTTTTTGTTAATTATTTGCTTTCTTGCTAATGTTGGTTTCTTCATTCTTGTTTGTTTGCATTAAATTATTTCTTGCTAATGTTGGCTTCTTCATTCTTGTTTGTTTGCGTTAATTTGCTATTTGCCATTGTTCATTTTTGTTTGTTTGTTTTGCGTTAATTATTTGCTTCGCTAATGATGGCTTCTTCATTATTGTTTTGTTATTTGCTTTTTTGGCTTTTAAATTATTTGCCTTGTTATTTCTTAATGTTGGCTTCTTTATTGTTTGTTTTGCGTTAATTATTTGCTTTTTTGCTAATGTTATTCTTTCATTGTTTGATTAATTATTTGCTTGTTGCTAATGTTGGCTTCTTCATTATTGTTTGTTTTGCGTTAATTATTTGCTTCTTGCTAATGTTGGCTTCTTCATCATTGTTTTGCGTTAATTATTTGCTTCTTGCTAATGTTGGCTTCTTCATTCTTGTTTGTTTTGCGTTAATTATTTGCTTCTTGCTAATGTTGGCTTCTTCATTATTGTTTGTTTTGCTTTATTTGCTTCTTGCTAATGTTGGCTTCTTCATCATTGTTTGTTTTGCGTTAATTATTTGCTTCTTGCTAATGTTGGCTTCTTCATTATTGTTTGTTTTGCGTTATTTGCTTCTTGCTAATGTTGGCTTCTTCATCAATGTTTGTTTTGCGTTAATTATTTGCTTCTTGCTAATGTTGGCTTCTTCATTATTGTTTGTTTTGCGTAAATAATTTTCTTGCTAATGTTGGCTTCTTCATTATTGTTTGTTTTGCGTTAATTATTTGTTTGCTTCTTGCCTAATGTTGGCTTCTTCATTCTTGCTTGTTTTACGTTAATTATTTGCTTTTGCTAATGTTGATTCTTTCATTTTGTTTGTTTTGCGTTAATTATTTGCTTCTTGCTAATGTTGGTTTCTTCATTCTTGTTTGTTTTACGTTAATTATTTGCTTCTTGCTAATGTTGGCTTCTTCATTCTTGTTTGTTTTACGTTAATTATTTGTTTTGCCAATGTTGGCTTCTTCATTCTTGTTTGTTTTGCATTATTTGCTTCTTGCTAATGTTGGATTCTTCATTCTTGTTTGTTTTGCGTTAATTATTTGCTTTTGCTAATGTTGGATTCTTCATTCTTGTTTGTTTTGCGTTAATTATTTGTTTCTTGCTAATGTTGATTTCTTCATTCTTGTTTGTTTTGCGTTAATTATTTGCTTCTTGCTAATGTTGTCTTCTTCATTTTGTTTGTTTTACGTTAATTATTTTTTTGCTAATGTTGGATTCTTCATTCTTGCTTGTTTACGTTAATTATTTGCTTCTTGCTAATGTTGGCTTTTCATTATTGTTTGTTTTTCTTGTTAATTGCTTCTTCTAATGTTGTTTTTCTTCATTATTGTTTTTGTTTTGCGTTAATTATTTGCTTCTTGCTAATGTTGGCTTCTTCATTATTGTTTGTTTGTTTCGCGTTAATTATTTGCTTCTTGCTAATGTTGGCTTCTTCATTATTGTTTGTTTTTTGCGTTAATTATTAATTATTTTATTTTTTATTCTTTGTTTTGCTAATGTTGGCTTCTTCATTATTGTTTGTTTACGTTAATTATTTGCTTCTTTAATGTTGGCTTCTTCATTATTGTTTGTTTTTGCGTTAATTATTTCTTCATTCTTGTTTTGTTTTACGTTAATTATTTGCTTCTTGCTAATGTTGGCTTCTTCATTTGTTTTGTTTTTTGTTAATTATTTTTGCTAATGTTGGCTTCTTCATTATTGTTTGTTTTTGTTATTTGCTTCTTGCTAATGTTGGCTTCTTCATTATTGTTTGTTTTGCGTTAATTATTTGCTTCTTGCTAATGATGCCTTCATCATTATTGTTTGTTTTGCGTAAATTATTTGCTTATTGCTAATGTTGGCTTCTTCATTATTGTTTGTTTTGCGTTAATTATTTGCTTCTTGCTAATGTTGGCTTCTTCATCATTGTTTTGCGTTAATTATTTGCTTGTTGCTAATGTTGGCTTCTTCACCATTGTTTGTTTTGCGTTAATTATTTGCTTCTTGCTAATGTTGGCTTCTTCATCATTGTTTGTTTTGCGTTAATTATTTGCTTATTGCTAATGTTGGCTTCTTCATTATTGTTTGTTTTACGTGAATTATTTGCTTCTTGCTAATGATGCCTTCTTCATTATTGTTTGTTTTGCGTAAATTATTTGCTTATTGCTAATGTTGGCTTCTTCAATATTGTTTGTTTTGCGTTATTTGCTTCTTGCTAATGTTGGCTTCTTCATCATTGTTTGTTTTGCGTTAATTATTTGCTTTTTGCTAATGTTGGCTTCTTCATTCTTGTTTGTTTTATGTTAATTATTTGCTTCTTGCTAATGTTGGCTTCTTTTCATTATTGTTTGTTTTTGCATGTAAATTATTTTGCTTCTTTTTGCTAATGTTGGCTTCTTCATCATTGTTTGTTTTGCGTTAATTATTTGCTTCTTGCTAATGTTGGCTTCTTCATTCTTGTTTGTTTTACGTGAATTATTTGCTTCTTGCTAATGATGCCTTCTTCATTATTGTTTGTTCTGCGTAAATTATTTGCTTCTTGTTAATGTTGGCTTCTTCATTCTTGTTTGTTTTGCATAAATTATTTGCTTCTTGCTAATTTTGGCTTCTTCATTATTGTTTGTTTTGCGTTATTTATTTGCTTCTTGCTAATGTTGGATTCTTCATTATTGTTTGTTTTGCGTTAATTATTTGCTTCTTGCTAATGTTGGCTTCTTCATTATTGTTTGTTTTGCGTTAATTATTTGCTTCTTGCTAATGTTGGCTTCTTCATTATTGTTTGTTTTGCGTAAATTATTTGCTTCTTGCTAATTTTGTCTTCTTCATTCTTGTTAGTTTTGCGTTAATTATTTGCTTCTTGCTAATGTTGGATTCTTCATTATTGTTTGTTTTGCGTAATTTATTTGCTTCTTGCTAATGTTGTCTTCTTCATTCTTGTTAGTTTTGCGTTAATTATTTGCTTCTTGCTAATGTTGTCTTCTTCATTCTTGTTAGTTTTGCGTTAATTATTTGCTTCTTGCTAATGTTGGATTCTTCATTATTGTTTGTTTTGCGTAAATTATTTGCTTCTTGCTAATGTTGTCTTCTTCATTCTTGTTAGTTTTGCGTTAATTATTTGCTTCTTGCTTATTCTTGTTTTATTTTTTACTTTTTCTCGTTAATATTTTGCTTCTTGTTAATACTTTGCTTCTTGCTAAGCTTTTGTTTTTTATTTGTTTATTATTTGCTTGTTCTTGTTTCTTAGTATTGTGTTCAGTTTTCTGTCCTGGATTGGTGGACCCGTTTCAGTCTCAAAATATAAGAAATTTACAATTATCATTATAGAATTTGTTCGATAGTTTTATGTTCTGTTATAAAAAGTAATTAAGCTGTTGATGCTCCATACTACTTGAAACAAAGAAAGTTAGGGAAGAAACCTCATCAATAATAGCAGTAAAATTTATTGGACCTGACAAACCTATTTTCCTGAAAAGTTGAAATATTTCTCAAATTTCAAAATGGTAGCACTGGCTACTCGCTAAATGATTGCGAAATATATCCTTTTAAGGAAATGGCTGATGTTACCATTAACTTTACCAAAAAACAGACTAAAGGAAATCTAAATGTAGGTTATACAACGGTATTATTGAAACAGGTAGGACATTGACGTGTCTGATGGAGATCTGTATTCACGATCTCTCGTGTTAGATACCAGTTATTACTGGCTTATTGTCAGGAAAGCAATAGAAAATTAATTAGAACGCCTTCGGAAGTAGACCTGAATCGGTGGGATAAGTAATACTTTGGGAATTATGCTAAGACTACGATTTGACTGGAGAAGGCTGTTTTTATGCACAAAGTAGTACCAATCCCCGAACATTTCTAGAGAACTTAGAGATTAGATGAATACGTACAAATAGGAAAAACCACTAAATAGTAAATGCAGTGTTAGCATATTTTAGTAGAAGGAGATATCTTTTATCTCGCAATTAAAGGTATCTTCCAGTTTAGTCAAAATTCATTCTTTTGGCGTTGAGATCT